AAAAATTTCTTCACCAAAAGGGTTGTCAAGCACTGGGCTGCCCAGGGAAGTGGTTGAGTCACCATCCCTGGGGGGTATTTAAAACATGTGTAGATGTGGCACTTAGGGACAGGGTTTAGTGATGGTCTCATCAGTGCTGGGTTAACAGTTGGTCTCTACAATCTCAAAGGTCTTTTCAAACCTAAAAGATTCTATGATTCCAAACTCAGGTCCTCTGGTACTGGCATGTGCTATAAAATAAAATAAACCCCCCATAACCTAATTAAGTTCAAGAGCCAGCAGAGCCTTAAATCCATTTCTCCTGAGCCCAGCTTTTCTATTACTTTGGAATAGACATCATTATCCTGCAGGACCATCTATATCTACAGAGAGAGTGGAGAAAGTGTCTTGCATTTGGTAGTAGCTATGTAGTATTACCTGAACGTATACAATACATAAATAGCTTACTAAACTGTTTTTGCTTCTGTTGTTTTCAAAAACCTCCACCAACTGCCCTGAGAATCATCCCTGCAAGCAGTAAGCTGCAGCTGGGACAGCAGTCCAGCCCAGGGTGCAAGCTGTGGTTCATATACAGCTATGCAGCCCTGCAGAAGCTGTACAGGGCGGGAGAGAAGGCAGCAGCTGAGGCTGCTCAGCAATGACGAGCAGGTTACCTGGCCCAGCACAGCTGGAAGCTCTGCAGAAGCACTGCTGTGGACAAAATCCTGCCACTTAGCAAGTAGGTTTGGGAAGAGGTACCCAGAGGTGTTCAAAATGCCATTAGATAGTTTCTCCAGTTCTTGTTGAGAGGATGGGATTTAACAAACATACTCCTTAGCTGCTCATTCTGTCCTCACTGCTGAAGGACTGGCTCTCCTACACCACACAAATGCAGTCACAAGTTGTTTGCAGTGTGTCTAGGGGGAGTAGGAAATAACAAGAATCTTAGATAGAAGTTTCCTCTAAACAACCAAGGAAGGAACCACAGTGAGCTCTTCTGTAGCGGCTCTCAAAGTTTTCCCAGCACCAGCTAATTCTCTCCTGTGCGACAGCTGAGAAGAGGCCAGGTCACTGTGGGTGCATTTTGCTGAGCTTCTGGGTTTCCATTTATCTGCATAAGCACAGAAATGGTGGAAAGGCTGTTTTGTGCTATCCCAAGCACATTAAGACAACTTATGCAGCAAGAGCAATGTGCTGATGAGGGCTCTTCTCAGCAACTACCCCTGTTGTGTTCAGAAGGTGACGTTGAGAGTTTATTCTAGAGGAATAAACAATTGAGAACATACTGCTGAAACAAAAGGTGCTGGAACGGACAATCTGATCAGCGATCATAACATTTCCACTGGAGTTACTCAACTTGAGCATCCACTGCACTGGTGACTGCACACAGCTAAACAAAACACTAGCTTATCCACACTGGCAATCTACCTTTGACTTACTTCAAAATCCTTTACCTTTCTGCCAAATTCAAAACTCCTCAGAAACTATGAATTTTAAAATAAGTTCAGAAGTTGATAACACAGAAACATAATGCCTTGAAATAAGTCTGACTTGCAAATAAATCATTAAATGCATGACTAATTTTTCTACTTTACTAAAAAAATACTGGGCTCTTTCCCAGTACTGCCTGAACATGACCAAATTTAATTCAATTCTTTTTTCTCCTTACAATAACTTGGAGCAAGAACAGACATAACCCCAGATTTTATTTTGTTTTGTTCCAGACAGACAATCAGTAAAGAATCCAATGTTGCTGGGGGGATAAGCAATAGTATCTATAGTCTGAAAGCTCAATCAATGCTATTACAAACTACTGCAGAAATCTGTCTGCTGCATACAGTGTTACCGTAATTGGTAGCAAGCCTTCTTAATAAGGAGTCTAGTCAGTGAAAGAACATGCTGCATCAGTTCTTAAATATTGCATTTTGGGTTTTCAGTAGCATGAAACAGAGGAGATTAAGACAGTACTGCTCAGTTCATGCATCGGGCAGACAGTTTATCAGAAGGCACAATGCATGTGAAACAGCACTGTTACAGCTATGCATTCAACCAGGCTGTTGTCTCGGGGATGCAACTTGGCAGCCCCCTGTGCCCTTCAATTTTCTCTGGTCTGATCAGGCTTCAGAGCCCAACCTACCACATGCCTCTTTGGCAGATTTCCTGGACACAAGTCCTCCCTCTATTAATTCTTTGCAGAAATGGTACCCTACAACCCTGTTTCCCCCATCCCTTCCTTCCTCCACTGCTCCTGGCTGCTCTGTACAAAAATCCACCTAGCACTTCAGAGATCAGTAAGACAAGTCCAGCTGAGTCCTGCCTTGCAGGGAGGCTCAGGTCAGGAGTGCATATTCAGGAGCTGGGCTTCACTGGGTTAAGCCAAGCATACGCCAACTGTACTGCTAAAGTATTCATGGGTTTGCACTTACATTACATAAAAAGAATAAGAGATTGCACTTTCAGAAACTGGTGCTGTACGTAGACTTCATCCACCCCCTTTCCCTTTCCATCACCCAGTAGGAGTGACAATGCACTACAATAGCCTTGGTTCATTTTCACACCAGCTTTACCTCAGCTGGCTTGGTCAGATCCTTCCTTTCCTGGGGCAGGACTTTGCATTTGTCCCTGTTCAACCATGAGGTCCCCATGGATCAGCCCCTTCCTTCAGCCTGGTGAGGCCCCTCTGAACAGCAGCCCAGATCTCAATGGTATCACCTCTCACCCTTGCCTCAGTTTGAGGCCATTGACAGCTCAATAGAGATGCCACTACCTCTTCCAGGTCACTAATTAAGGCATTTAACAGGGCAGATGGTAGGACAGGCCCTACAGCAACATCACTTGCCACCAGACTCCAACAACTATTTCAATGGGGAATTCAGAGACTGAATATAAAGCTCAGAAAAATACTTTGGGAGACTGCTGACAGCCACTCACTGGGATTAACAGGAGGGTCAGGAGCAGGTGCTGGGCTCCATCAGCTCAGAGCGGCCACACACCTTGGTGCCTGAACTTCCTGAGCAACTGTGGCTGGTCCCTCCAGAACCAATGATGGAGGCAGCAAGAGCAGAGAATGACTACAGTAGGAAACACCCTCTCATGCAGCTGCAGCAAACAGCTTTTTCTGAGGAGCTCTTTATGAAAGCCAAGATGCCCAAGGCAAATGCCAAGCCCTCCACCACAGCTTGCAGAGCTCTGGGCAAAGTAGACATGTATACACTCCTGCTTTCTAAAGCCTTGACCATCTCACTGTTTTCAAGATGGCACACTACTACTACTCAAACAAAGCAGACATACCAGCTAAACACGACTGACAGTCACCATACTGGGAACGGGGGGGATGCCTTGGAGGGGAGAGGAACCAGGAACAGGCAGATTTCCTGCAGAAATCTTCTCCCCCTTTCCACGAGGCACTACTGTAATGATGTTCCCAGGAAGAAGAATTGTAAATAAGAGTTAAATGTTCAGACAAGCATAGTACAGTGCCATGCATTGTTATAGCTTTAAAAGGATATTTGTTCAATTATTTTTTCTGTTTTACTTCACAGAAAACTCAAGGAAGGGATTGCTCCATCATTCAGGAACACTAATAAGGTTTAAATTATGCTTTAGAGCTCTGTCTCTCCTCTTGTTTCATGACTCTGCCTGGACAAGTCACCATGGAAAGAAGTAAGCCTGTTCTCCTAAAGGAGAAATTGTACAAATGGCAGCAGGAGTCACATAAGTACATACCAGTGAAAACTCACTGGAACTCTGGCTAAAAAACAGCTGCTTTTTAGAGTACCACGTGGCAAACACTGTACTCTGATGCTGTCACTCTTAAGAGCATTCAGACGTGTTACAAACAGTAAATACACATGGATACCCCCAAGGAATGTATGTGTACAAGATGTGTGCAGTATCTCTGACTGTTACACTGTTGGGAAAATTCAAGTAAACTTCGTAATTTATAAAAGAAAGGCACTATATAAAAAAACCCCACCCAAGTGGAGCATCTCATCCACTGCACTCAATGGCCAAGAGGAGCTACTGCTATACTAGAGCTACTGGCCTGTCCCACAGGCACAACAGCACATGCCTGTGGACCGCAGGATGCACTATGGTACCAAGGACGGGAACCAAAACAGACAAGATGAGTTATGTCAAAAGATTCTCACAGGAAGGCAGGTTGTCACTGTACTAGTTTTGCAGCTTCAAAGAGGGAGCTCATTGACGAGATAACTGGGTGGTACTTCACTGCCTGATGAACTAGTTTATGAATGGGCTGAGCATGTTAAAAAAGTATTAAGAGTATCTAAAGTAAAGCTCCTGTGGGTGTGCATTCTTCACACCTCTCTCCAATGAGTCGGCCTGCATCCCCCGTACATCCACACTCCTCCAGCCCACAGGGCCTGCAGTGGCTGTACAGGAAAGTGAGATCAGGTTCAAGGGCATTCAGGCTAACACCGAGCACACCAAAACACACACCAGCTCTTGCACACAGGCCATTGGGTACAACTACCACAGATACCAGTGATGCACTGCCTGGGGCTGAGCTCAGGTTGAACATGTAACGAAAATGGGGTCTGCATGGAGCATTGCTGCACCGCAGACAGAAACCCGCTCAATCGGCTGCCGACCCATCCCGCCGGACCGGGCCGGGCAAGCTGGCAGAGAGCAGGAGCCCGTACGCTCCAGAAAGGATGAGTCATAGTTTACACTGTCCACTTGTCTTCAGAAGCAGCACACTGCTCTCCGGTAGCCCCAGAGCCGCCGGGCCCTCCGCCCGCACGGGTCTCGCGTGCGGCAGCGCGGATGCGGGGCCGGAGCCGCTGCCCGGGCCGGTCCCGCCAAGCCAGCGCTGCTGCTCGTGCGCGATCCGCCGCCGCACCGCCGCCTCCCGCCGCTCCGCCGGGGCTCGGGGCGGGCCCGGGGACACGCCCGAGGCGCAGGGTCAACCCCGACCCACCTGCGCGGCAGCGGACATCGCTCCCCGGCCCGACGCCGCACCGCTCGCACCGGCTCCGCCACACACCGCATCGCAACACCTCCTTCCTGCGGCTGGCGGCCGTGCGGGTCAGAAGCGCCGTCTCCTCGCAGACGACGGCCACATCCTCCATCGAAGACGCAGTCCGGGGAGGCCTCTCGTCGGCGGCAGCTCCCCGACCTGCAGCCCCAGCTTGGCCCCGCAAGCACACCCAGTACAGCGGTGCCCGCGCTCCGCGCGAGCGAAGTCACCTCGGGCCCCGCCGACCTGCGCAGGCTTTGCGACACAGCACTCCGGGCAAGCGGCCGCACCAACGGGGTGCGTGCAGCCGGCCGAAGGCGGCGGGGCGGCGCCAGCCGGCCAATGCTGCGGGACGGGAGCGGCGGTGGCGCGGTTCGGGCGCGGGAGCGGTTTCGGCGGCCCGGGCGCCGCCGGCCTGGCCAGGGGGAAACGCCGCCGCGGCGGCCGCGCCCGCATTGGCTCCCACCACACATTTCATGGGGCCGCCGCCGCGCGCGCCCCAATTGGTGGGGCGGGGCGGCCGCGGCCGCCATTGGCCGCCCCGCGGTACTGTGCGGGCGGGGCGCGCCGCCCTCCCGCGCTCGGAGCGCGTGCGGGCCGCGCCCCGTGGCACGGCCCGGGCAGCGGCGTGTCACCTCGTGGTCTCGGTAGGTCTGTGCAAAGGCACAGCTGCGCTGACAGCGCTCAAGCGCCGGCGTCCCGCAACGTTCCTACATCCATCCCAGCTGACGTGGGCACCGGGAAGGTTGCTGACCCTCCTGCTCGAGGACACGCTGGCCTGGCTACCTGCGAGCCCTTTGCCGCCGCCTGCCCCTTCCTTTTGGCAGAGCCAGAGGCCAGGTGGTTCATCCGGGTGGCTAAAGGAAGATTATCCTATGACAACGGCAGTTCCAAATACAAATCCAAAGGAAATAAGCCCATCCTAATCTGTCACCATAGCTTTCTATGGGGCCACTCACCAGCGGAGCGTGTCCACCTTCTCCCACTCCTTTACACTGTCAAGGTTTCCACCTCTGTGGGGTAGGAGGGGCACCAGTGTTCTGCTCCACCTCTGCCTCAGGGACTGAAACCATGAGCATTTTCCACACTTTCCTCTAAAACAAACCCTTGCTTCCTCTGGTTTCATTTTTCCAAGGTTTTACCCTGACTGCAGACTATCCCGGAGGAGGACCAGACCTTTCCAGAGCACACCTCTGGCAGCAGGTGAATGAGGCTTTGGGCCAGACCTTGCACCACTGGCAACATCCACAGCACCAGCCCTCAGCTGTGCTGCTCCTGCTCCCAAACTTCCCAGGTACCTCCAAAGTCTGTCCTCAGTAGAGCAGACAGGAAGAGAGGAGGAATACAAATTTTCCTTCCAGCTCTTTTACTGGCAAGGCTTTTTCAAGTGTCCCTCTGGTCATGGAGGCGACTCCACTAGCAGACAGCTCTGTGTCCCCCCTTCAATGCCCAGACAAAACCCAGGCAGCTGCTTTGGCCATACTGTCACAGATATCTGCAGATATTCAGCATTTGGGAATATGGTGAATGAATAGCATGAAGAAAATACCAAAGTGTGTTTCTAAAATGGCAGATGACTAGATTTTCATCTGCGTTTTCCACACGTTCTCCAAATATCCTGTAAAGGCTGCCTTTACTTAATGTGCATAGGCGTAATTATTTGAATAACTGTCATTCACTGAAAAATGTTCAAATATTACTCTCCCTAAACAAATGGACAGGTAATTGAGTTGCTACCATTTCAAATTCTTGAAAAACTGCTACGAGTGGTCTCTGGTATAATGTATAATCCTTCCCCCATCTTTAAAGCCTATTTGTAATTATTACATATTTGGGATATGGCCCTTGGCACACTTTGGTTTTCTTTTTGTTAGTGTGACTTTTAGCCAGAAGATGAAGTGCTACTATCCAATAATTTAAAAACTTGCCAGGGTTCCTATCAGAAAAGGAATTGAAAACAGTTTTCTTGCAGCCAGTGGGTTGGAAAGTTATAGTCAATACAGATTTTTTTGACATCCACAATCACCTTATGAATTTGTAAGCGATGACAATTTTTAGATCTCACTGAAATTACAGGACATGAGGTGATGCTACACAGTCATCTCATCTGCACATGATATACGAGGACAGTGAGGCTTTCCCCAGAGGCATTGTCACCAAGCTGAGCTGAGATGGACACGGCTGCTCCCTGGGTGCTGGTCAGGTATCACTTCCGACAGCTTCCCAATACCTTTATGGGAGACAAGGCTGGAGGAAGGACTAGCTTTTTATGATGTGCAGTGCTATGAGGCAGTGGTATGCTACAAGCACAACGTGTTTTGGAAATACACATCGTTAGCTGTTTTGACAAGGTCTCAGAACTAATGACTACAATAAAAAGAGTCATCTGTATTCCCATAAATGCATAAACCAGTGCAGTTTAAATACCAATTAAGATCTGTTTGCTGATTCTGAGTATTGTTCTATTATTTATGGTGAACAGAAATGCATCATTAACAATCTAGGAACAGATGCACCGTGAGCAAAATTGTACATATTTATAATAAGATTATCAAAATATCAGTTTACTCACAAATTAACATTACAAAATAGAATGTGTTCACACACCCTTATGTGAGTGATGTTAAAAATCCATCATATGCAGTAATACAAAATGGGTCAGATACAGGCATCAACATTAAATATAGTCTACTTTGCTCAATATCCAGTATTTTCCTGTAATTATGTCCTGCTGGAGAGACTAGTGTAAAAGAGCAAAGCTGCCCCCCAGCAAATAAAAAAGCCGTGCCACACTATGGAATTCATGCAGAACAATGAAAACTATGCTTGTAATAAAATACGGACTGCAGACCGCTTAAGCAGTATCGCAAAAACTGTTTTTAGAATGAAGAACATGCTTCATGCAGAAAAGGATGCAAACCCAGGTGTTTTGTGACTGACACCGCACAGGGTCATCTGTTGGGAGTGACAGAAGAAAATTGCTTTGCAAAATGTATTTTAGGGTGCAAATGTGAACAGCGTGTTCGCTTTCAAGAGAAAGGAATAGATATTGAAACAGGAGACGTGGTTTTAAAGTTATGATGGAAAAGTATTGATACACAGAGTGAAATTTTATCAATTTGACAAAATAAATAGCAGCATATCGATAATATTTTTATTTTTTTTCCACAGCCTCATCTTAAGAGTAATCTGCAGCTATGTAAAAAACTGCCACAAGGATGAAGGGAGTAATTTCCACAAGGTAGAAGGCAAGCAAGATTTAAATACTAGATATATTGCGATACCCAGATATATCAAGGAAAAGTACAGAAAACTTTCTAACAATAAAAGGAAGAGAAAAAGATTGCCTGGGAAAAATGTGAAGCTCCATACCAGAAGAAATATCTGCTACGAGCAGAAAGACAGAGATGAGAAAGGAGCATGGATAAGGAGAGGTCCCATCCAGTCCCATGGTTCAATTATTATTATTTTTACACTGAAAACTATTATGTTAGTGAAATCAGCTACTTAATGATGAGTCTAATGTCCCCAGTAGCAAATGAGCAACCTTTACATGCACCACTGGGTGACTGAAGGTCAGAGACAGTCACTGCAGTTGAACAGTTTGTGTGACCATGACAAAGGAGAATTTGGATCACTGCTGAATACAAACACATACCACATGGGCTGATTGCTCAGGCATGCTGAGTGGCTGCAAAGTTGGAAAACATTTCCCATCACTTGCAGATGCTGGAACACCACCACTGCCTTTAAAGCCTTTATGGACATCTCTCAAACCATTAATGAAATACTAATTGAAACTCCAGAGAGAAAAGCCAAGACAAGACAGTAACTGAACCACTCAGACACCAGCACGTCCCACTATGACAATAGGAATTCATCCAAGAAAGATGGAGAGGCACTGATTTCACTTTTGAAAAGGAATACACCTTTAAGTGATTTCTTCAGCTCGCTAGAAAACCATGCAACTACTGCACAGCTAAATGCCATTATTAATAGAAACAAACACTACTCTGCTGGAAAAGCTCCCACTATGATCAATGGGTCATTCTCTTAAAAGGCATACAGGATCAGGTCTTACTCACAGCCATAGAAGACAAAAATATTACTTTAGTCATGCTTTAGATACACAAACAGTGACTCAAGGGGGTTTTTGTCCAGATAGTTGTCAGAAATTTTCTATTTCTGCTCTTGCACTGTAAAGTAAAAAACCACAGTGATTCAGTGAAGCAATGTTTTTACTAAATAAGTGTTCAGGCTCCTTGTTTAGAGGAGCTAAAGATGTCACTTCACCCCACTGCATGGACAAGCTCCCAAGTGTTTTTACATTTTCCAAATCCTGAAGAGATTTCGTTCACTGTTTATTCTTTACATAAGAGATCACTTCCAGAAGAGGAGAACCAACTTCTTCTGGGTGCCATAAATCAACAGGGCATCTGCCAGGCTGTAGAGAAATACTTTTGGGTAACAGCATTTTCTCTTGCCTGAGTTGAACCTGAGCTATCTCAGTCTTAACAAGGTCCAATTAATTCTATGTATAGCTGGTTCAGGGGAAACACAATATTTGTTTTGTCTGCTGTGGGATAATGATCTGGGCATTTCCTCAGCTGGCATTTTGCATCCTGCAGAGAAGGAGGAATTCCTGTGAAATGACAGCTACACATTTGTTGGGAGACAAAGCTGTAAAAGGGTGATTCTTTAAAAGTCAGTTTTGCCATGTCACATGGTACAGAGGAGCTGGACAACACGCAGAGGCACAGGGCATTCCTCACATTTGTAGTCTTCTCAAATGTTTTGTTACAATAGATTGCACCAGTACAACCAGGATCAACTTTTGGATTCACTTGGCTGGGCAAACAGATCCCTGAGGAGAGAGCTGCAGGATTCTGATGGTTTACCTTCTGTGCTCCTACCTCCTCACCTTTACCATGCCTTACATCCATTTTTACCCTTCTTTCTCTGCAGGGGAAAAGTCACTTGTTGAATTTTTAAGAGAATGGGTTAGGTACCACAGGTTCAGATGACTATGATGAAAAAATGAGATTAGTTGCCAGTGAAAATCTATTATGAATTACAATAGTTGACATCTCTCTTACAGAAAAGAATAGAAATACACCATTTTTGTCCCTGATGGACAGACTTCCCAGAAATATGCTAGAAGTGCTACTTCAGCTGAGAAAGAAAGAGGAGACAGAGCTCAGATAAGTGCCTTGCAAATGGGTGACTGCAACAATAAGACTATTTCTGCTATCAGACAGCATTTTTAATAAAGTATGCTGTTCTATAAGCTTGGCAAGAAAGCATCAGCTCTAGCAGTATAAGGGAGGATGGGTCATGCCATTCACACTTTCACAGCTACTGT